AAGAAGAAGAAGAAGAACGAACGAACGAACGAACGAACGAACGAACGAACGAACAAACTTTATTTTCAAAGGGTTACAAATTGGGCACGCAGGCCCGTCTGACATTAGGCCCTTCTAAGCACTCGTTTTCCGGAGTACCAATGCCTGTTATTTAAAATGCATGTTATAGATATAGAATAAAAATATACATTAGAGAATATAATACATACATCATGTGTACACAATCTTACACACTCACAGACATATATATATGCTCTCACATTCTCATACTTGCACACTCATATACAGACATACCTAAATATATACATCTACATATATACACAAACAGAAAAGACACACACAAACATATATTTACATATATGCACACACACATTCCATACATACACACCTACACATGCATGCATGCATACACACACATACAATCACATGTACATACACCCACAACCACACAATCACACTCACATATAAACATACATATACACATATACATACACACACCTACATCTTTACACACATACATGCATACATACCTACACCCACATACTTATACATCTACAAATGCATACACACATCCACAAACATGAATACATACACACACCCACATACATGCCGACACACATTACATACATACCCACACATGCATGCATAGACACATATACAATCACCCATACAGATACTCACATACATACATACATTCACTCATATATACATACATTCATACTTGCCTACATTATGTACACACATACACTCATATACAGTCACACATACTTACAACACATATACATAAATACACACACAAACAAGAAGAAGGAAGAAGAAGAAAGAAGAAGAAGGAAGAAGAAGAAAGAAGAAAGAAGAAGAAGAAATAGAAGAAGAAAGAAGAACGAACGAACGAACGAACGAACTTTATTTTCAAAGGGTTACAAATTAGGCACGCAGGCCTGTCTTACATTCGGCCCATCCAAACTTTCATCTTTCACCCAGCAGTTGTATTTTATCAATGAAGCATGTTATATTCATGTAATAATATGCATATTATGGATATGAAGTCAAAAACAAAAAGCATAGGTGGTAAAATATTTGCGCACGCTAACGCGCGAACACACACACCCACATACACACACAAGCCCAATCACTCACTTACACACAAACACATAGGCACCCAGTACACACATACATCCACATACATACGAACATGCACACACACATACATACATACATAAATACATACAAACTCACATACATATATACACACATACATACATACAGACAGACAGACAGACAGACAGACAGACAGACAGACAGGCAGGCAGGCAGGCAGACAGGTAGGCAGGCAGGCAGACAGACAGGCAGGCAGGCAGGCAGGCAGGAAGGCAGACGCACACACACGCACACACGCACACACACACGCGCGCGCGCGCACGCACGCACACACACACATACACACACATCCATCCATCCATCCATCCATCCATCCATCCATCCATCCATCCATCCATCCATCCATCCATCCATCCATCCATCCATCCATCCATCCATCCATCCATCCATCCATCCATCCATCCATCCATCCATCCATCCATCCATCCATCATACATCCATCCATACATACATACATACATACATACATACATACATACATACATACATACATACATACATACATACATACATACATACATACATACATACATACATACATACATACATACATACATACATACATACATACATTACATACATACATACATACATACATACAGACATACATACATACATACATACATACATACATACATACATACATACATACATACATACATACATACATACATACATACATACATACATACATACATACATACATACATACATACATACATACATACATACATACATACATACATACATACAGACATACATACATACATACATACATACATACATACATACATACATAACACACATACATACATACATACATACATACATACATACATACATACATACATACATACATACATACATACATACCATACATAAAACGACATACATACATACATACATACATACATACATACATACATACATACATACATACATACATACATACATACATACATACATACATACATACATACATACATACATACATACACTCCGACGTGGAAGCGAACATCCTAATTAGTCGACTTTCACAACAAGCCTGTTAGGAGGTAGTGAGTCTGTTCTTTCCCTCACCCCAACCTCCTACCCTCCGCCCTCAGAGGCCGCGAAACCCATAGGGCGATTTTAGAAAGCACTCGCACAGTGACGAATGACGCCATGAACATTGACTGACCACATAGTTCCTCCACAAACAGGTGTTCAGCTTCAGTGTTTGACCTAAATACACTATACAGGCGGATATATCAGCGTGCGAAAGCACTCACATATCGATGCAAACGTTCTCTTTCTCTCTCTCTCTCTTTCTCTCTCTCTCTTTCTCTCTCTCTCTCTCTCTTTCTCTCACTCTCTCTCTCTTTCTCTATCTCTCTCTCTCTCTCTTTCTCTCTCTCTCTTTCTCTCACTCTCTCTCTCGTTCTCTCACTCTCTCTCTATCTCTTTTTCTCTCACTCTCTCACTCTCTCACTCTCACTCTCTCTCTCACTCTCTCTCACCCTCTCTCTCTCACTCTCCCTCTCTCACTCTCTCTCTCACTCTCTCTCTATTTCTCTCACTCTCTCACTCTCTCTCTTTCTCTCATTCTCTCTCTCTATCTCTTTTTCTCTCACTCTCTCACTCTCTCACTCTCACTCTCTCACTCTCTCTCACCCTCTCTCTCTCACTCTCCCTCTCTCACTCTCTCTCTCTCACTCTCTCTCTCAATCTATCTCACTTCTCTCTCTCACTCTCTCTCTTTCCTCTCTCTTCACTCTCCTCTCTCTTACACACTCTCGCTCTCTCTCAGACTACACTCTCTCTCTCACATCTCTCTCACTCTCTTCTCTCTCTCTCTCTCTCTCACTCTTCACTCTCTCACCTCTCACTCTCTCTCTCACACACCTCTCTCTCCTCTCTACTCCTCACACTCTCTCTCTCTACACACTCTCTCTCTCTCTCTCTCACACTCTCTCACTCTCTCTCTCACTCTCTCACTCTCTCTCTCAACTCTCTCTCTCACACTCTTCTCACACTCTCTCTCTCCCTCTCTCTCTCTCACACTCTCTCACACTCTCTCACTCTCTCTCACACTCTTCACTCTCTCTCACTCTCTCTCTCTCACTCCTGTCTCACACTCTCTCACACTCTCTCTCTCACACTCTCTCACACACTCTCTCACACTCTCTCACTCTCTCTCACTCTCTCTCACTCTCTCTCACTATCTCTCACACTCTCACCTCACTCTCTCTCACACTCTCTCACTCTCTCTCACACTATTCACCACACTCTCTCTCACACTCTCCTCTCACACTGCTCTCTCACACTCTCTCACACACTCCTCACACTCTCTCTCCTCTCTCACACACTCTCTCACTCTCACTCTCTCACACACTCTCTCTTCTCACACTCTCTCACAACTCTCTCTCCACACTCTCTCTCAACACTCTCTCTCACACTCTCTTCTCTCACACCTCTCTCCCACTCTCTCTCTTTCACACTCTCTCACACACTCTCTCACACACTCTCTCAAACTCTCTATCTCACTATCTCAGACTCTCTGTCTCACACTCTCTCTCACACTCTCACATTCTCTGTCTCACACTCTCTCACACTCTCTCTCTCTCACACACTCTCTCACTCTCTTTCACTCTCTCTCACTCTCTCACACTCTCTCTCTCACACTCTCTCACTCTCTCTCTCACACTCTCTCACACACTCTCTCTCACACTCTCTCACACTCTCTCACACTCTCTCACTCTCTCTCACTCTCTCTCTCACTCTCTCTCACTCTCTCTCTCTCACACTCTCTCACACACTCTCTCTCACACACTCTCTCACACACTCTCTCTCTCACACTCTCTCACACTCTCTCTCACACTCTCTCACACTCTCTCTCACACTCTCTCACACACTCTCTCACACTCTCTCTCTCACACTCTCTCACACTCTCTCTCACACACTCTCTCTCTCTCTCACTCTCTCTCTCTCACACTCTCTCTCTCACACTCTCTCTCACACTCTCTCTCTCACACTCTCTCACACTCTCTCACACTCTCTCACACATACTCTCTCACACACACTTTCTCTCACACACACTCTCTCTCACACTCTCACACTCTCTCACGCTCTCTCTCTCACTCTCTCACACTCTCTCTCACACTCTCTCAAACTCTCTCTCTCACTCTCTCACACTCTCTGTCTCACACTCTCTCTCTCACACTCTCTCTCACTCTCTTACTCTCTCTTTCTCTCTCACTCTCTCTCTCACACTCTCTCACACTCTCTCACACTCTTTCTTTCACACTCTCTCAAACTCTCTCTCTCACTCTCTCTGTCTCACACTCTCTCTCACACTCTCTCTCTCACGCTCTCTCTCTCACACTCTCTCACACTCTCTCTATCTCACACTCTCACACTCTCTCACACTGTCACACTCTCTCACACTCTCTCACACTCTCTCTCTCACACACTCTCTCTCTCCCCCCTCTCTCCCTCTCTCCCCCCTCTCTCTCTCTTACGCATGCTCTCAGATACATCAAGTAAAAGGCCCCTTTCCCACGACTTTAGGCCTATTATGCATATGGGTTAGACCTATATTTTCATGGACAAATCGGCACTAGGCCATGTGGTCTACATCACGCCGGCCGCGTTTACTTCCCATGGTTATATCTGGTACCCATTTAAGGCTGGATCGACATGGGAGCCTATTCTTTATCGAAAAAGTCCGGCATAGCCAGGATCCGAACCCACAACATTCCGATGCGCAAGCGAGCGTCTAGCTGCTAGACCATGACGGCATCCTGCCAGACATACACCCCCGTATATAAACATAAGGATGAGGACAGTCTCTGACTCACCGTTTCTGTTGATTCCGGTGAAGTCTGCCTCGTGAGGACTGAAAGCCTTGACCATGCCGAGCTGTATCAGGGGCTGACTCAACATGAACGTGGACTCGATGTTCACCTTGGGCATGCTGACGTTGACACGGACAGGCGTCAGGTCTTGGAACAACTCCTCAACCCTTCCGGGTACAGTCAAGGCATTCTCTGTCAACAGGGACCACAGACGTGACATCGTTAACCGTCAACGTGGACCACAGACTTGACACATTTAACCGTCGGTGTTGACCACAGACGTGACATCATTAACCGTCAACGTGGACAACAGACGTGACACCATTAACTGTCAGCATAGACCACAGACGTGGCGTCATCAATAGTTAACATGGAACAAAGCCATGAGGTCATCAACAGTCAACATAGACCACACCTTTGACGTGATTAACAGACAAGGATCATAAACTTTACGTCATAAACGACCAACATAGACCACACACTTGATGTAATCAACTGCCAACGAAGATAATAAACATTACGTCATCAGCAGTCAACATGGACCACTAACTCTTTGCTACAACAGTCAACATGGACCACAAAGTCTGCGTCATCAACAGTCAACATGGACCACAAAGTCTGCGTTATCAACAGTCAACATGGACAACAAACTCTATGCTACAACAGTCAACATGGACCACAAAGACTGCGACATCAACAGTCAACATGGACCACAAAGTCTGCGTCATCAACAGTCAACATGGACCACAAAGTCTGCGTCATCAATAGTCAACATGGACCACAAAGTCTGCGTCATCAACAGTCAACATGGACAACAAACTCTATGCTACAACAGTCAACATGGACAACAAACTCTATGCTACAACAGTCAACACGGACAACAAACTCTATGCTACAACAGTCAACATGGACCACAAAGTCTGCGTCATCAATAGTCAACATGGACCACAAAGTCTACGTCATCAATAGTCAACATGGACCACAAAGTCTGCGTCATCAATAGTCAACATGGACCACAAAGTCTGCGTCATCAATAGTCAACATGGACCACAAAGTCTGCTTCATCAATAGTCAACATGGACCACAAAGTCTGCTACATCAATAGTGAACATGGACCACAAAGGGTGCGTCATCAATAGTCAACATGGACCACAAAGTCTGCGTCATCAATAGTCAACATGGACCCCAAAGTCTGCGTCATCAATAGTCAACATGGACAACAAACTCTATGCTACAACAGTCAACATGGACAACAAACTCTATGCTACAACAGTCAATATGGACCACAAAGTCTGCGTCATCAATAGTCAACATGGACCACAAAGTCTGCGTCATCAATAGTCAACATGGACCACAAAGTCTGCGTCATCAATAGTCAACATGGACCACAAAGTCTGCGTCATCAATAGTCAACATGGACCACAAAGTCTGCGTCATCAACAGTCAACATGGACCACAAAGTCTGCGTCATCAATAGTCAACATGGACCACAAAGTCTGCGTCATCAATAGTCAACATGGACCCCAAAGTCTGCGTCATCAATAGTCAACATAGACCACAAAGTCTGCGCCATCAATAGTCAACATGGACCACAAAGTCTGCGTCATCAATAGTCAACATTGACAACAAATTCTATGCTACAACAGTCAACATGGACAACAAACTCTATGCTACAACAGTCAACATGGACCACAAAGTCTGCGTCATCAATAGTCAACATGGACCACAAAGTCTGCGTCATCAATAGTCAACATGGACCACAAAGTCTGCGTCATCAACAGTCAACATGGACCACAAAGTCTATGCTACAACAGTCAACATGGACAACAAACTCTATGCTACAACAGTCAACATGGACAACAAACTCTATGCTACAACAGTCAACAAGAACCACAAAGTCTATGTCATCAACAGTCAACATGGACCACAAAGTCTGCGTCATCAATAGTCAACATGGACCACAAAGTCTGCGTCATCAACAGTCAACATGGACCACAAAGTCTGCGTCATCAATAGTCAACATGGACCACAAACTCTATGCTACAACAGTCAACATGGACCACAAAGTCTATGCTACAACAGTCAACATGGACCACAAAGTCTGCGTCATCAATAGTCAACATGGACCACAAAGTCTGCGTCATCAATAGTCAACATGGACCACAAAGTCTGCGTCATCAATAGTCAACATGGACCACAAAGTCTGCGTCATCAATAGTCAACATGGACCACAAAGTCTGCGTCATCAACAGTAAACATGGACCACAAACTCTATGCTACAACAGTAAACATGGACCACAAACTCTATGCTACAACAGTCAACATGGACCACAAAGTCTATGCTACAACAGTCAACATGGAAAACAAACTCTATGCTACAACAGTCAACATGGACCACAAAGTCTATGCTACAACAGTCAACATGGACCACAAAGTCTATGCTACAACAGTCAACATGGACAACAAACTCTATGCTACAACAGTCAACAAGAACCACAAAGTCTATGTCATCAACAGTCAACATGGACCACAAAGTCTGCGTCATCAATAGTCAACATGGACCACAAAGTCTGCGTCATCAACAGTCAACATGGACCACAAAGTCTATGTCATCAACAGTCAACATGGACCACAAAGTCTGCGTCATCAACAGTCAACATGGACCACAAAGTCTATGTCATCAACAGTCAACAAGGACTACAAACTCTGCGTCATCAATAGTTAACATGGACCACAAAGTCTGCGTCATCAATAGTTAACATGGACCACAAAGTCTGCGTCATCAATAGTCAACATGGACCACAAAGTCTGCGTCATCGACAATCAAAATTATTCACTCTCCTGATTAAGTTGTCTGCCATCTCTGTTTTTTTTTTCTGAGCGTTACTTCGGTCACACTTCCATCTGGCCATTTCTTCAATAACACATCGCTGACGTCACCATGTCACTTCCGGTGACCTGACCCTAGAAGCCTAGATACATTTCGATGTTTGTGTCGGCCAGGAGTTTCTACATTTGCAGGCATTCACAAGTTAGTAACTGTGTGTGGTTATATTTTCATGTAGCTGTTTTAAGTTCTGTTGTTCTTCCATTGACTTTTGAAATTATCTTAAACTTTGTTTATTTAAATGGAAATTGATAATCCCTGTTCTAACTGAGTCTATATGTGACTCCAGTTCAGTGACTGTTGGTGGCACAGGACGGCTGCCATCCTAAAATACTGACAAAAACGGAAATACGTCAGGAGATTTTTGGTCATCGGTAAATGTGTACTGAAGATATTCGCTAAGGATAGACAAAGACAACATTACCTAGATCATCTAGTCCGTCGACTGTGTGAGGTAAGTCGATGTAGATCGAGAGGATAGAGCAAGAAAACGCTACCTAGATCATCTAGTCCGTCGACTGTGTGAGGTAAGTCGATGTAGATCGAGAGGACAGAGCAAGACAACGTTACCTAGATCAGCTAGTCCGTCGACTGTGTGAGGTAATACGATGACGACCGAGAACCTCCCATGACCAATTGTCAATTCCCCAACGTCTGCGCCATGGAAGTTTCTCTTGATGTTCATGGTTCTGGTATCGAACATGGTGTCAACCTGGAGGGTAGGGGTTCGTTGCTGCAGTTTATCTATGCAAAGCTGGATTGTGATTTCTTAAGGAGAGAGAGAGAGAGAGAGAGAGAGAGAGAGAGAGAGAGAGAGAGAGAGATAGTGAGAGAGAGAAAGAGAGAGAGATAGAAAAAGAGAAAGATAAAGAGAGAGAGAGAGATAGAGAGAGAGAGAAAGAGAGAAAGAGAGAGAACGAGAGAGAGAGAAAGATAAAGAGAGAGAGATAGAGAGAGAGAGAGAGAAAGAGAGAAAGAGAGAGAGAACGAGAGAGAGAGAGAAAGATAAAGAGAGAGAGAAAGATAAAGAGAGAGAGAGAGAAAGATAAAGAGAGAGAGAGAGAGAAAGATAAAGAGAGAGAGAGAGAGAGAGAGAGAGCATTCTGATCTGATTCAGAGAGGAGTCAGCAAGAAGACCTTATCCCCAAAACAGGCTCCTAGATAGACATAATTTAATCAGGCTGCCAGATGCGCCATCAGCATGGGAGTCATTTGTTAGATGTTGGAGAGACAGAGCCTGTGAGGAAATGTCTGAAGTGTCACTAAGTCCATGGTTGATTGATTCATACATTCTATCATCTTCACGCTTGGCAGGTGTTTGTTCTTCTGCACAGTTATCACAAAGAGCTGTCTGCATAGCTGTTCATGTTTGTGACATACTCTGTGTGTCTGTCTGTCTGTTCTGTTCTGTCTGTCTGTCTCTCTGTCTGTGTCTATGCCTCCATGTTTCTATCCCATTTCTCTCCCTCTCTTCCTTGCTTTACCTCCCTACCACACTCTCTCCTTATTTTCAATCACCCTCTCTCTGCCTCCTCCTTTCCTCACTCTTGTTCGCTCTGTCCCACAATCTATCTGCCTAATTCTTTCCTCCCTCTTGTTCGCTCTGTCCCACTCTCTCTCTCTGCCTCTATCTCTCCATTCCCTTGCTCGCTCTGTCCCACTCTCTCCCTGCCTCCATCTCTCCTCACTCTTGCTCGCTCTGTCCCACTCTCTCCCTGCCTCCATCTCTCCTAACTCTTGTTCGCTCTGTCCCATTCTCTCTCTCTGCCTCTATCTCTCCATTCCCTTGCTCGCTCTGTCCCACTCTCTCCCTGCCTCCATCTCTCTCACTCTTGCTCGCTCTGTCCCACTCTCTCACTGCCTCCATCTCTCCTCACTCTTGCTCGCTCTGTCCCACTCTCTCCCTGTCTCCATCTCTCCATTCCCTTGCTCGCTCTGTCCCACTCTCTCTCTGCCTCCATCTCTTCATTCCCTTGCTCGCTCTGTCCCACTCTCTCTGCCTCCATCTCTCCTCACTCTTGCTCTCTCTGTCCCACTCACTCTCTGCCTCCATCTTTCCTCACTCGTGCTCACTCTGTCCCACTCTCTCTCTCTTTCTCTGCATCGCTCTCTCATCACTTTTGCTCGCTCGGTCCTAATCTCTGCCTCGCTCTCTCCTCACTCTCTCTCTCTGCCTCAATCTCTCCTCATTCTTGCTCTCTCTGTCCCACTCTCTCTCTGCCTCAATCTATCCTCACTCTTGCTTGCTCTGTCCCACTCTCTCTCTGCCTGCCTCTCTCCTCACTCTTGTTCGATTTGTCCCACTCTCTCTCTGCCTCCATCTCTCCGTACTCTTGCTCGCTCTGTCCCACTCTCTCTGCCTCGCTCTCTCCTCACTCTTGCTCTCTCTGTCCCAATCTCTCTATGCCTCTATCTCTCCTTACTCTTGCTCGCTCTGTCCCACTCTCTCTCTCTGCCTCCATCTCTCATTACTCTTTTTCTCTCTGTCCCACTCTCTCTCTGCCTCGCTCTCTCCTCACTCTTGCTCTCTCTGTCCCACTCTCTCTCTCTGCCTCCCTCTCTCCTAACTCTTGTTCGATCTGTCCCACTCTCTCTCTCTGCCTCCATCTCTCTTTACTCTTGCTCGCTCTGTCCCACTCTCTCTCTGCCTCCATCTCTCCTCAGTCTTGCTCGCTGTGTACCACTCTCTCCCTGCCTCCATCTCTCCATTCCCTTGCTCGCTCTGACCTACTCACTCCCTGCCTCCATCTCTCCTCACTCGTGCTCGCTCTGTCCCACTCTCTCTCTGCCTCCATCTCTCCATTCCCTTGCTCGCTCTGTCCCACTCTCTTCCTGCCTCCATCTCTCCTTACTTTTGCTCGCTCTGTCCCACTCTCTCCCTGCCTCCATCTCTCCTTAATCTTGCTCGCTCTGTCCCACTCTATCTCTGTCTCATTCTCTCCTAACTCTTGCTCTCTCTGTCACACTCTCTCTTTGGCTCCATCTCTCCTCACTCTTGCTCGCTTTGTCCCACTCTCTCTCTGTCTCATTCTCTCCTAACTCTTGCTCTCTCTGTCACACTCTCTCTCTGCCTCCATCTCTCCTAACTCTTGCTCTTTCTGCCCCACTCTCTCTCTCTGCCTCCCTCTCTCCTAACTCTTGTTCGATCTGTCCCACTCTCTCTCTGCCTCATTCTCTCCTCACTCTTGCTCTCTCTGTCACACTCTCTCTCTGCCTCCATCTCTCCTCACTCTTGCTCGCTTTGTCCCACTCTCTCTCTGCCTCCATCTCTCCTCACTCTTGCTCTCTCTGTCACACTCTCTCTTTGGCTCCATCTCTCCTCACTCTTGCTCGCTTTGTCCCACTCTCTCTCTGCCTCCATCTCTCCTCACTCTTGCTCTTTCTGCCCCACTCTCTCTCTCTGCCTCCCTCTCTCCTAACTCTTGTTCGATCTGTCTCACTCTCTCTCTGCCTCTATCTCTCCTTACTCTTGCTCGCTCTGTCCCACTCTCTCTCTGCCTCCATCTCTCCTCAGTCTTGCTCGCTCTGCCCCACTCTCTCCCTTCCTCGCTTTCTCAATTTCCTTGCTCGCTCACTCCCACTCTATCCCTGCCTTCCTCTCTTCTTATTCTTGCTCGCTTTGCCTCACACTCTCCCTGCCTCTTTTCTCTCCTTACTCTCGCTCTCTACTCGTCTGTCTGCACCTTTCCCTCCTGATATCCCTTTCTATTTATCTGATTCCCCTCCTTACTCTCGCTCTCTACTCGTCTGTCTGCACCTTTCCCTCCTGATATCCCTTTCTATTTATCCGATTCCCCTCCTTGCTCTGTAATCCTCCTTGTTCTCCCTCCCTTTCTTGTTCTCTTGATGTATCTCTCTCCATCTCTCATTCCCTCCAACTCCTTCCTTCACCCGCCCTTTATTCACCAGCACTGCTGCTACAAACAGCCCCAGTCTTGCCGAAAGAGAAGAGTTGATTCCGTTACCTGGATGGTGCCTTGCTGGGTGTGGAAGTCCGCCGGTTGTGTCCTGTCCTTGTCGAAAGGTCTGTCCCAGGAGCCGTTGAAGTAGACGGTGTTGACAAGAACCATCAATGTCAGAGCAGTGACGACATCTGGAAAAGGTTCACAATATTCACACAATGTTCACGCAATGTCCAACAATGTTCACATCATGTCACACAATGTTCACATCATGTCCAACAATATTCACACAAGGTTCACACAATGTTCACATCATGTCCAACAATGTTCAATCAATGTTCACATCATGTCCAACAATGTTCACATCATGTCCAACAATGTTTCCATCATGTCCAACAATGTTCACATCCTGTCACACAATGTTCCTATCATGTTCACACAATTTTCACAACATGTTCACACAAATTTCACATCATGCCCAACAATGTTCACATCATGTCCAAAAATGTTCACACAATGTTCACATCATGTCCAACAGTGTTTACATCATGTTCACACAATGTTTACATCATGTCCTACAATGTTCACATCATGTTCAACAATGTTCACACAATGTTCACATTATGTCACACAATGTTTACATCCTGTCCAACAATTTTCACATCATGTCCAACAATGTTCACATCATGTCCAACAATGTTCAAATTATGTCACACAATGTTCACATTATGTCCAATAATGTTCACACAATGTTCACATCATGTCCAACAGTGTTCACACAATGTTCAAATCATGTCCAACGGTGTTCACACAATGTTCACACCATGTTCACATCATATCCAACAGTGTTCACATCATGTTCACACAATGTTCACACAATGTTAACATTGTGTTACACAATGTTCACATCATGTCCGACAATGTTTACATCATGTCCAACAATGTTCACACAATGTTCACATCATGTCCAACAATGTTCACACAATGTTCACATCATGTCAAACAATGTTCACATCATGTCCAACAATGTTCACATCATGTCCAACAATGTTTACACAATGCTCACATCATGTCCAAACATTTTCACACAATGTTCCCATCATGTCCAACAATGTTCACATCATGTCCAACAATGTTCACACAAGGTTCACACAATGTTCACATCATGCCCAACAGTGTTCACACAATGTTCACGTCATGTCCAACAATGTTCACATCATGTCCAAAAATGTTTACACAATGTTCACACAATGTTCACATCATGCCCAACAGTGTTCACACAATGTTCACGTCATGTGCAAAAATGTTCACATCATGTCCAACAATGTTCACACCATGTCCAACAATGTTCATATTCACAATTCCTCATGTCTTGTCCAACAATGTTTCACCTCATGTTCACACAATGTTTCACATTCATGTCCAACAATGTTCACATCATGTCCAACAATGTCTAACAAAAATGTTTTCTTGTTCACATCAATGTTTCACATCATGTCCAACATTGTTCACATCATGTTTCCACCAATGTTCACACAATGTTCCACACAATCCCCCAATGTTCACATGTCCCACAATGTCAATCACACCATGTCCAACAATATTCACACAATGTTCCTTTCAATTTTCATGTCTTCAACAATCCCCTCCCTTCTTCACACTTCATGTCCAACAATGTTTCTTCGTCCATTCTTCTCTTTTCCTCCCCTTCACACCTCCTCATGTCTTCTTCCCCCCTTCTTCAATGTTCTCACAATGTTCACATCCCTTTCCTTTCTAATTTCTTTCTTTCTTTCTTTCTTTCTTTCTTTTTACTTTCTTGTTTTTCTTTCTTTCTAATTCTTCTCTTTCTTTCTTTCTTTCTTTCTTTCTTCTTTCTCTTTCTCTTTCTTCTTTTCTTTCTTTCTTTTTTCTCTTTCTTGTCTTTCTTTCTTTCTTTCTTGTTTCTTTCTTCTCTTTCTTTCTTTCTTTCTTTGTTTGTTTGGTTCTTTTTCATCTTTTCAGTGTTCTCTTTCTTCTTCTTTTCTTTCTTTCTTTTTTTCTTTTTTGCTTTCTTTCTTTCTTTCTTTTCTTTCTTCTTTCTTTCTTCTTTTTTTTTTTTTCTTTCTCTTCTTCTTTCTTTTCTTTCTTTCTTATTGATCTTTCTTTCTTTTTCCTTTCTTCTTCTTTCTTTCTTTCAATTCTTTATCTTCTTTCTTTCTTTCTTTGTCTTTTCTTCTTTCTCTTCTTTTCTTTCTTTCTTTCTTTCTTCTTTTCTTTCTTTTCTTTCTTTCTTTCTTCTTTCTTTCTTTCTTTCTTTTCTTTCTTCTTTTCTTTCTTTTCTTTCTTCTTTCTTTCTTTCTTTTCTTTCTTTCTTTCTTTCTTTTTCTTTCTTCTTTCTTTCTTTCTTCTTTCTTTCTTTCTTTCTTTCTTTCTTTCTTTCTTTCTTTCTTTCTTTTTTTTCTTTTCTTTCTTTCTTTCTTTCTTTCTTTCTTTCTTTTTCTTTCTTTTTCTCTTTCTTTCTTTCCTTTCTTTCTTTCTTTCTTTCTTTCTTTCTTTCTTTCTTTTCTTTCTTTTCTTTCTTTCTTTCTTTCTTTTCTTTCTTTCTTCTTTCTTTCTTTCTTTCTTTCTTTTTTTCTTTTCTTTCTTTCTTTCTCTTTCTTCTTTCTTTCTTCTTTCTTTCTTTCTTTTCTTTCTTTCTTTCTTTCCTTTCTTTTCTTCTTTCTTTCTTTCTTTCTTTCTTTCTTTCTTTTCTTTCTTTCTTTCTTTTTTCTTTCTTTCTTTCTTCCTTTTTTCTTTCTTTTTCTTTCTTTCTTTCTTTTCTTTCTTTCCTTTCTTTCTTTCTTTTTCTTTCTTTCTTTCTTTCTTTCTTTCTTTCTTTTCTTCTTTTTTCTTTCTTTTCTTTCTTTCTTTCTTTCTTTCTTTTCTTTCTTCTTTCTTTCTTTTCTTTTTCTTTCTTTCTTTCCACTTTTTTTCTTTCTTTTTCTTTCTTATCTTTTTTTTCTTTCTTTCTTTTTTTCTTTTTTCCTTTTTTCTTTTCTTTTTCTTTCTTCTTTTTTCTTCTTTCTTCTTTCTTTCTTTCTTTTCTTTCTTTCTTTCTTTCTTTCTTTCTTTCTTTCTTTCTTTCTTTCTTCTTTCTTTCTTTCTTTCTTTCTTTCTTTCTTTTTTCTTTCTTTCTTTCTTTCTTTCTTTCTTTCTACAAAAATTAGTAAATAAATGAATTAATCAAAAATTGACACAACTGCAGCCCGTCCCCTTCTACAGTAACTAACGAAGAGCTGACACAACTACCGCCTGTCCCCTTCTACAGTAACTAATGAAGAGCTGACACAACTGCGTCCCGTCTCCTTTTACAGTAACTAACGGAGAGCTGACACAACTGCAGCCCGTCCCCTTCTACAGTAACTAACGAAGAGCTGACACAACTGCACCCCGTCCCCTTCTACAGTAACTAACGAAGAGCTGACACAACTGCACCCCGTAAACCTTCTACAGTAACTAACGAAGCGCTGACACAACTGCACCCCGTCCCCTTCTACAGTAACTAACGAAGAGCTGACACAGCTGCAGCTTTGCCCCTTCTACAGTAACTAATGAAGAACTTACACAACTTCACCCCGTCCCCGTCTACAGTAACTAACGAAGAGCTGACACAAGTTCAGTCCGTCCCCTTTTACAGTAACCAACGAAGAGCTGACACAACTTCAGTCTGTCCCCTTTTACAGTAACCAACGAAGAGCTGACACAACTTCAGTCCGTCCCCTTTTACAGTAACTAACGAAGAGCTGACACAAGTTCAGTCCGTCCCCTTTTACAGCAACCAACGAAGAGCTGACACAACTTCAGTCCGTCCCCTTCTCCAGTAACTAACGAAGAGCTGACACAAGTTCAGTCCGTCCCCTTTTACAGTAACCAACGAAGAGCTGACACAACTTCAGTCCGTCCCCTTCTCCAGTAACTAACGAAGAGCTGACACAACTTCAGTCCGTCCCCTTCTCCAGTAACTAACGAAGAACTGACACACTCACAGAACCAACTGCAGCCTCATTAAAAATCGACCTCTTGATCTCCCTCAATGTTGTATACCTTCCAGAACCTTTACACTACTATCTCCCGCCTCCACCTTCGTTGATTTTGTCTTTCATTGTATGGATCCCTTGTCTGTTGTGTTGCACTGTCCATTCAATCCATTAGAGCCCTCACCACTTTCACTTCGTTATAAAATAGCTCACTACCCAGAGGAGCGGCAGCAACTAATTTATCAGCCTGCTCCTTATCTTGCACACCTGAATAACATGGACAGAAAAATCCACGATAAACTGTCGACATGGGTGTTATTAAGCGATATAAACCAATATTGGAGTTTTCCGTGAGTCCGTTACGATCTTCCACAAGAAAGACAAGGATCGTTCATGTGGTAAAATTCCGCTGCTAAAGTTTTATTTTGGATCAGTTTCACGCCAACCTTCTTAGCTGACTCTTACGGCACGCATGTTAGGTTACACTGTTATGTCATGTTTCCCGGATGGTCCCCGCTCACACATTTTATTGCAATTACAAACCAAATTTTATCAGTTCTAGTGGACTTGCATGAATGCTACCACTTGGAACAGAGAGCCGCTCTGAAACAATATAGCAGACATAGAGCAGGGGAAGACCACAAAGACAATGGATCGATGACATCAAGAGTAGCCTGATGGGAAAGATGACCTACTCATTCAATGCACTGACCTAAAAAAAAAAAAAAAGACAAAATACACAAAGGATCCTTAGATCTGCCCCCCCCCCCCCTTTTTTTCCCTTTTTCCTAAATACGTTTCAACAACAAAACACGGAGATTTTACTTGGCTGCACCAGATTTTGGATGAGTCCCCGAGTCTTGTATTCCACATATTCATTAATGACCCTCTCCGGGCCAGCTGGGTCGTGGGGGTCGAAGGTAGAGACGTTGGACAGGTAGAAGTTCTGGACATCGCGGACGAAGGCGCTCTCTACAGTCTCCAACTTGTTGATGAAGATGGCATTGGCTGTAAGGATGGTGGTCACGTTAGAAGCGGCGTTCAGCTGTTGGCGTCAAGAGTTTGGGGATGCCTTTCATTATTCGGTAACAACAGAAGATTTATGTCTGTCTGTCTGTCTTCCGTTCGTTCTGGCCGTTCATGAGTTCGTCCGTCCGTCTGTCGGTCGGTCGCTCGTTCATTCGTTTGTTCTGTCTATCTCTATGCGCGTGGTATGTCTGTCTGTCTGTCTGTTTGTCTGTCTGTCTGTCTGTCTGTCTACAAGATGATGCTTCGGAGTATAAAAAAAGGGAAAAGCAGAGATCCCTTTTCACGCCTTAGGCGCATCGGGTATGTGGGAAGAGCGTCCCATATTTTTACAGACCAACTGGCACTGGATTGGTAATGTGATCAGCATTGCTCTGGCCGTATTTACTTTCCTAGGACGCTTCGGAATATGCTTGAGATTAAAGTTGTGATGATAGTGATGAATGACGCAATGATTCAACTGAAAATAATATCTGGAGGAAAAAAAAAACGTTGACTTCTTACTGATATCTTGAGGTAAAATCCTGGACGTCTCACCGATCTTGAGGTAAAATCCTGGACGTCTCACCGATCTTGAGGTAAAATCCTGGACGTCTCACCGATCTTGGGGTAAAATCCTGGACGTCTCACCGATCTTGGGGTAAAATCCTGGACGTATCATCGATCTTGAGGTAAAATCCTGGACGTCTCACCGATCTTGAGGTAAAATCCTGGACGTCTCACCGATATCTTGAGGTAAAATCCTGGACGTCTCACCGATATCTTGAGGTAAAATCCTGGACGTCTCACCGATCTTGAGGTAAAATCCTGGACGTCTCACCGATCTTAAGATAAAATCCTGGACGTCTCACCGATATCTTGAGGTAAAATCCTGGACGTCTCACCGATATCTTGAGGTAAAATCCTGGACTTATCAGTGATATCTTGAGGTAAAATCCTGGACTTATCACCGATATCTTGAGCAGAAAAGGAGACATCTCAAGCAAGACCCTCCATCCCTCCCCCCCCTTTCTCTCCCATACTCTAGAATTTGTAATTATTATTACTAATCATTCAGGAACTAATACATTTTTAAGAACATGGTAATATATGCGCTTATAAATGGTATGAGACATAACAGTAATTGCATATAAAAATGTTTGATTATTTATCGTATGTGTGCCCTCTCCATTTCCGAATACTAAAAGTATTTATCGAAAGAACCAGTCACTTTCACTAGAAGCTTTATTTTTTATCAAACATAAAAGTCCTCACAGCTTTCCTTAACATTCATTTTTCCAGCAGTTTATGTGACAATACGCTCGGTGACTTCAGAATGTCTTTCCTTATTCTAATTTTATTCCTTTGTGTTTCAAAGTATACAGAAATAAATGGTTTTGGATACATCCCTAATCTAAGTAAGGCGACCTGAACAAGCATTTAATTTTCCTGGACTGTTAGTAATATCAAACACTGAGACTCTTTCCCAGATGTAAAGTGTTAAGGTAGTCTTTGTGACGCCTGTGATTCTGACCAGCCCAGACTTACTGTCTGCAAATTTGCACACCATCTGTTGGTGTCAGATATTTATCTCCTAGCCAGACCATTAGGAACAGATAACTCCGGCTAATTGTGTTTAATTCCCCCTGAGGTTACCTAAACTGGAGTGCCGGTCAGATCGTCAATATTGACATGGTGAGCCGAAAGTGTTGGCAGAAGAATTGACAAAGTCTGATTTTATGGTCGGGTGGAGTTGTTAAAACCACTTGACAGGTGAACTAGACTGGAGGTGTGACTTGGCCTATTAGCTTTGACCAGCTTAATTGAACCTGTAGAATGTGACCCTGGGAATTTAAACAAGTGTTGTACAGCCCTGACTGACAGCGAATAAACTTACCCACAGGGGAGGAGCTGTGACATCCTTGAATGAGAATGAGTTTGGGCGTAATGTAGGAGGAGCTTAATAAAAGTTATAAAGGGGTGAACTCTAGGTCTGGTAAATGGGACTCTGTCCAGCACATGCCATCTGTTGGGCTTAACCTAAGCTTGAGACAGAACTTTTGGCATTGTGGTTTCATTTTCCAGGTGAGAACGAAATTAGGTTCAAATCTATATTTTGTGATAGAAATCTAACTGTCTTTTTGCTCAAGTGTGTGTCTTCATCACTTTGTAGTACTCCTTAGCGGACATTTCTCCATTCTCTTAGAGCACTGTCACATTGCTTTATTTCCTATTTGATAGTATCATGAATGTTTTTTCGTGCACATGTGTTTCAATGTTGTAAAACCTAAATGTTGTTGTTGCCATTGAAATTTAATGAACTATCATGTTTTTGAAATCACAAGCGTGAAGATAACTTTGGCAATCTTTTCACGTGTGGTTAATGTGAATCTGCATTACATACAGCTAACACACTGAAATGTGTTTAACTCCAGAGAGGCTAATGCGGAGATTGATCCAGGAGAGTAAATCCACGAGATTTGTTATTTGATTCGCCCCAGAACTATTGTTAGCATTCTGGGCGCGTCGATTGTTCCAAGCATAGATTCCAGAACTGGTTCTGTCTGACTGATTGTCATTTTGAGTCTGTACGAGAGATGGCACCTGACGGAGAAGACTTGACTATCATTACAGGACTTGTGTAGAGGAAGGCAGAAAATGTAACGGGTGGAATGTGAGACATAAGCCCTTCCAAATTGGACAGGAGTGAATGTGAACATGAGGGAGAGATGAAATGTTTTATTTAAATAAACATTCTTGATGTTATTATAATATACATGCTTAATGTACACCTAGAGCAGATACTACAGATATGCGCTTGTTTCTTTATCACAGTTCCCACATTGGGCAGGGACTAGTAGGCATCCATTATTTGCTCACCGTCGAGTGTAACGACCTGCTGAAAGCAGTGAGAACGACAAACTGGAAAAGATAGGCAGGGTCTCAAGCCGAGAACTGTCCGACGGTGAATTCTCCTACTAGGAATTAAGTATATGTACAAACTGTCATCAATCACACTCCCTCAACTCTACTAGCCTAAACAAGTTCATTTTAATTTCGATTTATTCAAATAAATCATGTTTGATGTTGTTACAAAATAGTTGAGTAAATTGTGTACTTAGGTTCAAGTGTCTTTGTGCATATTAGTTTACTTCAGCTAACAAATATTTAAATCACTTGATGGGGGCTTTTAAGTAATGCCAGGAGAGGAGAACAGTCGGAGCGGTTAACTGTGTATCTGGATTATATCACAGTGGGTGTATCCTGATATCTATCTATCCCTTCTCCTACTCCTGTGGATACAAGTACAGCAACTTTCATTTCATGGAACGAGCCACTCGCTGTTTTCTTGGCTATCCAGGACTGTCTAGGATCAACATAGCTTAGATATCAGTCCAGTTTCTCACGTGGGTGGGCATTGTTAAGGTTCAAACCCACACCCTCACTTTATCAGTGTATTTACCCACGTGGGCGCGCGACAGTATAGAGTTTGATTGTTGAGTGCAAGGGCAAAAAGCTAATGTCTTAGAGTGTTCTAAAGCTTCCTGAGAAGAAAAATAGAGTATGGAAGCATTGTCTTTGACTCAGCAACTGGTGTCACAACAAGTAAATTAGATAGTATACAGTGTTCTAAAGCTTCCTGAGAGGGAAACTAGATTATGGAAGCATTGCCCTTGACTCAGCAACTGGTATCACAACAAGTACACTAGATAGTTTACAGTGTTCTAAACCTTCCTCAGAGGGAAACTAGAGTATGGAAGCATTGTCTATGACTCAGCAACTGGTGTCACACCAAGTAAACTAGATAGTATACAGTGTTCTAAACCTTCCTCAGAGGGAAACTAGAGTATGGAAGCATTGTCTTTGACTCAGCAACTAGTGTCACAACAAGTACACTAGATAGTATACAGTGCCAGGCACATCAATAGAAGCAATGGAAGTAGCGCTAGGTACAGCACCGTTAAATCTGAGAAGGAAGCAATTAATATACAATTACTGGCTTCAGACAGCACACAAACATGATCATCCAGCTTGTGACGCTTTTGACAGCAACACAGACACGTTCAAGGGGGTGCCAGAAAGAAACGTTCTTAGGCCAGCAGCATGGGAAGAAAAATGTGGCAATGAAAATCGCTGTCTATTAGTATCACAATCTATGGTCAGTCTTTTGGCATGACCTCATTCCTAGAATGGCACAAGTGGTCATTAAACGTACACAATGTATGTGTGTGTTTGTGTGTGTGTATGTGTGTGTGTGTGTTTATGTGTGTGTGTATGTGTTTGTGTGTGTTTGTGTGTGTGTATGTGTGTGTGTGTGTTTATGTGTGTTTCAAGACGTTTTAGCTGTTTTTTAAATTCGAAGTTTAAAATGTTGGTAATTGTTGAGATGTTGGTAATTGTTGAGATGTTGGTGATCGTTGAAATGTTGGTGATTGTTGAAATGTTGGTGATTGTTGAAATGTTGGTAATTGTTGAGATGTTGGTGATTGTTGAAATGTTGGTGATTGTTGAAATGTTGGTGATTGTTGAAATGTTGGTGATTGTTGAAATGTTGGTGATTGTTGAAATGTTGGTAATTGTTGAGATGTTGGTAATTGTTGAGATGTTGGTGATCGTTGAGATGTTGGTGATTGTTGAAATGTTGGTGATTGTTGAAATGTTGGTGATTGTTGAAATGTTGGTGATTGTTGAAATGTTGGTGATTGTTGAAATGTTGGTGATTGTTGAAATGTTGGTGATTGTTGAAATGTTGGTGATTGTTGAAATGTTGGTGATTGTTGAAATGTTGGTGATTGTTGAAATGTTGGTAATTGTTGAGATGTTGGTAATTGTTGAGATGTTGGTGATCGTTGAGATGTTGGTGATTGTTGAAATGTTGGTGATTGTTGAAATGTTGGTGATTGTTGAAATGTTGGTGATTGTTGAAATGTTGGTGATTGTTGAAATGTTGCGGTATCTTTAGAAAATAAATTTGGTACTATTCCCACAACATTTTTTAAAGCCGATAATAGTGATATTGATGATGCTGATGATGATGTTGATGTTGATGATGTTGATGATGATGATGATGTTAATGATGATGATAATGATGTTGGTAATTATGATGATGATGTTTTTGATGATGATGATGATGTTGGTGATGATGATGATGTTGGTGATGATGATGATGTTGGTGATTATGTTGATGTTAGTGATGTTGATGATGACGATGATGCTGATGGTGATGTTAATGATGTTGATGATGATGATGTTGGTGATAATGATGGTGATGATGTTGGTGACGATGTTGATGATGATGTTGGTCATGATGATGTTGATGATGATGATGTTGGTGATGATGATGGTGATGATGTTGGTGATGATGTTGGTGATGATGATGGTGACGATGATGTTGATGATATGGTATAATATGGTGAAGCTAGGGACATAGAGTAACATAGGGTGGCAAATAGGGTCATGAACCCCTAGCCCCTAATGGTACCTGCGCGATGACGTCATTATAAGCCTGGTGTGGTTCTCGTTCTCCTGTGAACACGTCCAGACCGAGAGTTGACGTCATTTCCGTCTTGGTGTCGCCCTTAGCCCCAAGTGACGTCATCGACAAGGCCGTGTGAATGCTGGGAGCAGAAATGTTCATTTTTTAGCAAATAACATCTAGATAGGATATGGTATAATAGTTTAGTCTTTCTCAAAATCTCATCTCTTCTCTAACTGGAACACTTGCTAAAACACCCCCTCTCCCAAAAGTTAACTCTTGCCAAGACAACCCCCCCCCCCCACCCAAAAAAAAAAGTTAACACTTCCTAAGACCCTACCCCCCCCCCCCCCCGTTTTCTTTTGCTAAGGCACCCCTCCCTTCAAGTTTTCTCTTGCTAAGACATCCCCCCCCACCCCCAAGTTTTCTCTTACCAAGACACCCCCCACTTTCTCCCAAGTTTTCTCTTGCTTAGACCCCCCCCCCCCCCCCCCCCAAAGTTACCTCTTGCCAAGACACCCTCTCCCCAAGTTTTCTCTTGCTAAGACACCCCCTCCTCCCACGTTTTCTTTTGCTAAGACACTCCCAGCTCCCAAGATTTCTCTTGCCAAGACACCCCCCTCCCCCAAGTTTTCTCTTGCTAAGACACCCCCACCCCCCAAGTTTTCTCTTGCTAAGACACCCCCCCCAAGTTTTTCTCTTGCTAAGACACCCCCCCCCCCCCCAGTTTTCTCTTTGCTAAGACACCCCCCCCCCCAAGTTTTCTCTTGCTAAGACACCCTCCCCCCCCCTAGTAGTGTCTCTTGCTAAGGACCCCCCCCCCCCCCCCCCCAAAAAAAAAAAAAAAATTGTTCTCTTGCTAAGACACCCTCCACGCCCCCTAGAGTTTTCTCTTGCTAAGGACCCCCCCCCCCCCCAAATTTTCTCTTGCTAAGACACCCTCCCCGCCCCCTAGTGTTCTCTTGCTAAGGACCCCCCCCCCCCCCCCCTCAAAAAATTTCTCTTGCTAAGACACCCCCCCCCGCCCCCTAGTGTTTCTCTTGCTAAGGACCCCCCCCCCCCAAATTTTCTCTTGCTAAGACACCCTCCTCCCCCTAGTGTTCTCTTGCTAAGACACCCCTCTCCCCCAAGTTTTCTCTTGCTAAGACACCCCCCCCCCCCCAAGTTTTCACTTGCTAAAACACCCCCCCCCCAAGTTTTCTCTTGCTAAGACACCCCCTCCCCCATGTTTTCTCTAGCTAAGACACACTTCTCCCCCAAGTGTTCTCTTGCTAAGACACTCCCCATTCCCCCTCAAGTTTTCTCTTGCTAAGACACCCCCCTCGCCAAGTTTTCTCTTGCCAAGACAGCTCCCTCCCAAGTTTTCTCTTGCTAAGACACCCCCCTCTCCCAAGCTTTCTCTTGCCAAGACACCCCCCTCCCCCAAGCTTTCTCTTGCCAAGACACCCCCTCCCTTAAGTTTTCTCTTGCCAAGCACCCCTTCCCCCAAGTTTTCTCTTGCCAAGAAAATCCCCCTCCTCTAGTTTTCTCTTGCTAAGACACCCCCCCCCCCAAGTTTTCTCTTACCAAGAAAACCCCCCCTCCTCTAGTTTTCTCCTACTAAGACACCCCCTCCCCCAAGTTTTCTCTTGCTAAGACATATCCCCCCCCCCCAAGTTTTCTCTTGCCAAAGTTTTCTCTTGCTAAGACACCCCTTCCCCCAAGTTTTCTCTTGCTAAGACACAACCTCCCAAGTTTTCTCTTGCTAAGACACCCCCTTCCCCAAGTTTTCTCTTGCTAAGACACAACCTCCCAAGTTTTCTCTTGCTAAGACACCCCCTTCCAAGTTTTTCGCTTGCTAAGACACCCCCTCGCAAGTTTTTCGCTTGCTAAGACACCCCCCCCCCCCAAGTTTTCTCTTGCTAAGACACCCCCCCTCCCCCAAGTTTTCTCTTGCTAAGACACCCCCCCCCCCAAGTTTTCTCTTGCTAAGACACCCCCTCCAACACGTTTTCTCTTGCTAAGACACCCCCCTCCCTAAGTTTTTCTCTTGCTGACAACCCCCTCCCAAGTTTTTCTCTTGCTAAGACAACCCCCTCCCCAAGTTTTCTCTTGCTAAGACACACCCCCTCCTCCCAAGTTTTCTCTTGCCAAGACACCTCCCCCCCCCCCCCTTTTCCTTTCGCGTAAGTTTTCTCTTGCTAAGACAACCGCTCTCTCCCCCACCCAAGTTTTCTCTTGCCAAGACACCCCCCCCCCCCCCAAGTTTTCTTTTGCCAAGACACCCCCCTCCCCCAGTTTTTCTCTTGCTAAGACATCCACCCCCTCCCCTAGTAAAGTTTTCTCTTGCAAGACACCCCCCCCCCTAAAGTTCTCTCTTGTCTAAGACACCCCCTCCCCAAGTTTTCTCTTGCTAAGACACCCCCCTCCCCCAGGTTTTCTCTTGCTAAGACTCCCCTCCCCCAAGTTTTCTCTTGCTAAGACACCCCTTTCCCAAGTTTTCTCTTGCTAAGACATCCACCCCCCCCCCTAAGTTTTCTCTTGTCAAGACACCCCCTCCCCAAGTTGTCTCTTGCCAAGACACCCCTCTCCCCCAAGTTTTCTCTTGCTAAGACACACCACTCCTCAAGTTTTCTCTTGCTAAGACACCCCCTCGCCAAGTTTTCTCTTGCCAAGACACCCCCCCCCCCCAAGCTTTCTCTTGCCAAGACACCCCCCTCCCCCAAGCTTTCTCTTGCCAAGACACCCCCTTACCCAAGTTTTCTCTTGCCAAGACACCCCCCTTCCCCAAGTTTTCTCTTGCCAAGAAAACCCCCCTCCTCTTTTTTTCTTTTGCTAAGACACCCCCCCCCCCCACCCAAGTTTTCTCTTACTAAGAAAACCCCCTCCTCTAGTTTTCTCTTGCTAAGACACCCCCCCCCCCCTAAGTTTTCTCTTGCTAAGACAACCCCCTCCCAAGTTTTCTCTTGCCAAGACAACCCCCCCCCCTCAAGTTTTCTCCTGCTAAGACACCTCCCTCCCTCAAGTTTTCTCTTGCTAAGACATTCCCCCCCCCCCCAAGTTTTCTCTTGCCAAAGTTTTCTCTATCTAAGACACTCCCTCCCCCAAGTTTTCTCTTGCTAAGACACCTCCTTCCCCAAGTTTTCTCTTGCTAAGACACACCCTCCCAAGTTTTCTCTTGCTAAGACACCCCCTTCCAAGTTTTTCGCTTGCTAAGACATCCCCTCGCAAGTTTTTCGCTTGCTAAGACACCCCCCTCCTACAAGTTTTCTCTTGCTAAGACACCCCCCTCCCCAAGTTTTCTCTTGCTAAGACACCCCCCTCCCCAAGTTTTCTATTGCTAAGACACCCCCTCCAACAAGTTTTCTCTTGCTAAGACACCACCTTCTCTAAGTTTTCTCTTGCTGTCACCCCCTCTCCCAAGTTTTTCTCTTGCCGAGACAACCATCTCCCCAAGTTTTCTCTTGCTAAGACACCCCACCCTCCCAAGTTTTCCCTTGCCAAGACACCTCCCCCCCCCCTTTCCTTTCGCGTAAGTTTTCTCTTGCTAAGACACCGCTCTCCCCCAAGTTTTCTCTTGCCAAGACACCCCCTCCCCCAAGTTTTCTCTTGCCAAGACACCCCCCTCCCCAAGTTTTCTCTTGCTAAGACACCCCCTCCCCCAAGTTTTCTCTTGCTAAGACACCGCTCTCCTCCAAGTTTTCTCTTGCCAAGACACCCCCCTCCCCCAAGTTTTCTCTTGCTAAGACACCCCCCTCCCCAGGTTTTCTCTTGCTAAGACACCCCCTCCCCCAAGTTTTCTCTTGCTAAGATACCCCCCTCCCCCAAATTTTCTCTTGCTATGACACCCCCCTCCCCCAAGTTTTCTCTTGCCAAGACACCCCCTCCCCCAAGTTTCCCCTTGCTAAGACACCCCTCCCCCAGGTTTTCTCTTGTCAAGACACCCCCCCCCCCTAAGTTTTCTCTTGCTAAGACACCCCCTCCCCATGTTTTCTCTTGCTAAGACTCATTCTCCCCAAGTTTTCTCTTGCTAAGACACCCCCTCTCCAAGTTTTCTCTTGTCAAGACATCCACTCCCCAAGATTTCTCTTGCCAAGACACCCCCCTCCCCCAAGATTTCTCTTGCCAAGACACCCCCCTCCCACAAGTTTTCTCTTGCTAATACACCCCCTCCCCAAGTTTTCTCTTGCTAAGACTCCCCCTCAACAAGTTTTCTCTTGCTAAGACACCCCCTCCCCAAGTTTTCTCTTGCTAAGACATCCCCTCCCCTCCCCCCTAAGTTTTCTCTTGTCAAGACACCCCCTTCCCCAAGATTTCTCTTGCCAAGACACCCCTCTCTCCCAGGTTTTCTCCTGCTAAGACATCCAGTCCCCCCCCCCCTAAGTTTTCTCTTGTCAAGACACCCCCCTCCCCCAGGTTTTCTCTTGCTAAGACATCCACTCCCCCTTCCTAAGTTTTCTCTTGCCAAGACACCCCCCTCCCCCAGGTTTTCTCTTGCTAAGACGTCCACCCCCCCCCCTAAGTTTTCTCTTGTCAAGACACCCCTCCCCCCCAAGATTTCTCTTGTCAAGACACCCCTCTCCCCCAAGTTTTCTCTTGCCAAGACACCCCCCCCCCCTAAGTTTTCTCTTGTCAAGACACCCCCTCCCCAAGTTGTCTCTTGCCAAGACACCCCTCTCCCCCAAGTTTTCTCTTGCTAAGACACCCTCCTCCCCCAAGTTTTCTCTTGCTAAGACACCCCCCTCCCCCAAGTTTTCTCTTGCTAAGAAACCCCCTCCCCCAAGTTTTCTCTTGCCAAGACATCCCCTTCCCCCCAAATTTTCTCTTGCTAAGACACCTGACCCATCCCAATTTTTCACTTGCCAAGACACCCCCCTTCTTAATTTTTCTCTTGCTAAGACACCCCTCAATGTTTAAAAAAAAAAAAAAAGATGCGTGCATATTAAACCGAATTGATCAAATAAAATGGGCAGGAAAGGCAGGTTGCATGATGTAGACCGTATCACCAATGGAATGATGCCATTGGGGCTAGCAAAGTTTGTCGATGTCTGCTGAACTAAGAAAAGAGACAACCATCGAGACAGGGCTTGCTACTGAAACAAATGTGTTGACATTGTACCTCAACGGCGAGTAGATGGTGTTTTTGGACCCTAGAGCAATCTCCCTGTAGAGACGTTGGGAGAAGTTGTTGGATGCCTTGGCGATCTTCTGAGCTCCATCTGCAGAAGGTGCCACAGTGGGCGTTTTCCGACCCCCGCCCTTGGAATACAGGCCAGGTTTGGTCTTCAGACATCCGGCCTCTGAATGTGGGACAGCGATGTCGCCTAGGACGCAGAGGACCAACAGGTAGGTCAGCATTGTATTGTGCCTCAGCTGTAGACATGTTGTTGAATGTGCTGTGATATAGTAGTCAACATGCAAACAACAGCTGCACATTTGGGTTTGGGGAGGGGGTGGTTTTACTAGTTTGATTTACAACTGATTTACAAACATTAAACAGAGAAACTACTGACAGATACGGTATTAGCGAGACGTGACCAGTTCGCATGTGTAAGTGGTAAAATAAAGTGAAGGACACTTGTTCATGCCTTTCAGTCGTATTGGGTACATAGGGCAAGACCTGTATTTTATAGATCAATGGCACAAGATGCGTGATGTTGTCAACATCACACCGGCCGCCTTTACTTCCCCTGACTGGACCTGGTACCAACTTAAGGCAGGGTCGACAAGGGAACCAAGGTATTTGGGTTGACCCGGGAGCCAGGGTATTTGGGTTGACCCGGGAGCCAGGGTATTTGGGTTGACCCGGGAGCCAAGGTATTTTTGTTGTTGTCAAAAACAAGTCCGGCTCCATCAGGACCTGAATCAACGACCTTCCGATCCGCAGGCGAGCTTCTAGCCGCTTCACCACGGCTGTCCTAGTGACGTGTGGTAGTGTCCGAGCTTTGCGTCCAGCATTCAGGACTACATAGCTCATGTGCTTGTTGTGGCGCTGACCGCCTTTTATTCTACAAAATGTCCCCATCGAATGTTTGTTGGCTTGTTGGTTGATAAATAATCAAATATGCAGTGCCGTCTGCACATTAAAGGTTGGCTACAATCTGTAACTGATGCCTCTGGGAATATAACGTGCTGAGGCCCAGATCGCTTCCGCGGTGAGACTCAATGCCATGGAACTGGGCTGGTTAGCAGTCTCAGCACTTGTCTTGACAGATTTCTTTCATTTAGTGGAGCTCCCGGACAGACATAGCAACCCTTAGTTTTACAATATGTCCTGGGAAGTCAAGGCAGCCACAGTGAACACAGCATCCAACTGAATGTCTAATGATCTATGAAAGTACAGTGATAGCACATATAGTACTTCGAGATGTGACAACAGGACCTTTGATCTTGAGATGTGACAACAGGACCATTGATCATGAGATGTGACAACAGGACCTTTGATGTTGAGATGTGACAACAGGACCTTTGATCTTGAGATGTGACAACAGGACCTTTGATGTTGAGATGTGACAACAGGACCTTTGATGTTGAGATGTGACAACAGGACCTTTGATATTGAGATGTGACAACAGGACCTTTGATCTTGAGATGTGACAACAGGACCATTGATCATGAGATGTGACAACAGGACCTTTGATGTTGAGATGTGACAACAGGACCTTTGATGTTGAGATGTGACAACAGGACCTTTGATCTTGAGATGTGACAACAGGACCTTTGATGTTGAGATGTGACAACAGGACCTTTGATATTGAGATGTGACAACAGGACCTTTGATGTTGAGATGTGACAACAGGACCTTTGATCTTGAGATGTGACAACAGGACCATTGATGTTGAGATGTGACAACAGGACCTTTGATCTTGAGATGTGACAACAGGACCTTTGATCTTGAGATGTGACAACACGACCTTTGATATTGAGATGTGACAACAGGACCTTTGATGTTGAGATGTGACAACAGGACCTTTGATACTGAGATGTGACAACAGGACCTTTGATCTTGAGATGTGACAACAGGACCTTTGATCTTGAGATGTGACAACAGGACCTTTGATGTTGAGATGTGACAACAGGACCTTTGATATTGAGATGTGACAACAGGACCTTTGATCTTGAGATGTGACAACAGGACCTTTGATGTTGAGATGTGACAACAGGACCTTTGATCTTGAGATGTGACAACAGGACCTTTGATCTTGAGATGGGCAAATGATGCATACATAAAAAAAAAAGATAAATAAAACAGACAAATAAAAAAAGACAAGGGAAACAGAAAAATTAAACCGAAAAGTGAAACAGAGAAAGAAAACAAACAGAAGACACACAGATGAAATAGACAAATCACATTGAGAAAGGAAGAAAACAATGAAAACAGACAAATGAAACAGAAAAACGAAACAGATAAATAAAACAGACAAATGAAAAAAAAAACGGAAAGAGAAAAACAAAACAGATAAATGAAACAGAAAAATAAAAAATTCAAATAAAACAGAGAAACGAAACAGATGAAACACATATAGGAAGTAGAAACAAATATTTACCTATAAATGAAACAGAGAAACGTGAAACAGGCAAAAGTGAAACAGAAAAAAGTGAAACAGACAGAAGTGAAAGCGACAAAAGTGAAAGAGACAAATGTGAAAGAGACAAATGTGAAACAGACAGAAGTGAAACAGACAAATGTGAAAGAGACACAAGTTAGTTAGTTAGTTAGTTAGTTGGGTTATCCTCATTGCACTCTGGACATGTCCATAGGTGCTCAGATCCTCCCCTCAGTATGAACCCCAACGTCCGATGGCTAATAGTACCAGTTCTATGTTGATTAACAAGTCTTCTGGCGTAGCTGGTGTGCGTCTCGTTTTTTGCTGTGCCGATCTTAATTCCCAAGTCAAGAGAGAGAGAGACACAAGTGAAACAGACAAATGTGAAACAGACAAAAGTGAAACAGACAAAAGTGAAACAGACAAAAGTGAAACAGACAAAAGTAAAACAGACAAAGGTAAAACAGACAAAAGTGAAACAGACAAAAGTGAAACAGACAAAAGAGAAACACACAAAAGTGACCATAAATGAAACAGAGAAATGAAACTGACAAATGAAACTGACAAACTAACCAGACACATGTTACAAGTGAATAAAAAAAAAAAACAGACAAATAAAACAGATAAAAGAACTAGACAAACGAACGAACAAATCAAACAATCTTACGTGATATTGACGGTGTAGATTTGCCTGCCTGTGAGTGGTTGTGTGTGGCTGTCGTCCGGCAAGCTTATATACTTACACGGCCAGGACAACACTAGGATGAGCATCAATACAAATC